TTTGCTAAATATTTCATTTATTATCATATCACTATTTGCTTCCAAATAATTTAAAATAATCAATGCATCTTCAGTACCTGCTGCCCAATATATATTATCTCTGAATTATTTATCTTCATCTTTCAACAATTAATCTGCAAACATCCTAAATCTTGATTTTGGTTTATTAATCAAATTAGCTTATTAATTTCTACTTAATTCTAAGCTTGCAATTTGTATTTCTATTTATAATTGGCCTGGAACTATAGAACTACATTTTAAAATATTATTTAGTTTTCTTAATCTGGTAGTAAATTTATGCTCTTAATGATATTCAAATCCAAAATCGAGAGCAGCATTAATTATGTTAAAAGCGTTCCAAACAATAGGTAATCCTCCAAAAATCTAGGGTCCTATATTTAACATTTTTTGAAAAACATTTAAATTTTATTCAGAACTACTTTCGATTATAGCATTTTTATTAACTTAAAATAGATTAGTGGAAATCTATTACATTGCAGATAAATAATTATACAATCTCCAAGCTAAAGCATTATAATACATCAATTAATTCTTATTTTCTTTTTTATTTAATTGTTTTAGAGATTCAGAAACCTTATAATTATCTTATTCTAAAAGTGAACTGACATTTATTGCGTGCGTAGTTATTTGGTTTTAAAAATCATTAAACCTTTTTTCAAATTGTTCCAAAATCTAAAAGTATATTGTTTATTGATTTGAATTTAATTAAGTATCTAATGGCTTCATTTGTTATGTAAATTCATTAACTAATTTCTAGGCTTATTCTTCTAGTTAAATAGATTTCTATCTTTATAATTATTAAGATAAATAATTAATTTAAACATCTGTTGTTTATATAGAATTTTAAATTTCTCTAAGTAGATTATATTATTTATTAATATATCTAAGATTTGAATTAGATAAATTCCATTCCGATATCTATTGTTAATTAATTGAATCTAATGATTCTTGTGCTTTTGTAAAATAAATATTTGCTTAAGAAAATTATTTTTATTTAAAATAGAGACTTCCTAAGTTTGTTACAAAAAGTGGATTATCTGGTTATAATTGGAGAGCCTTTTAGTAGTCTTGGAGTGCTTTTTCATTTTCTCCTGTTTTATCAAATAGAACTCCTAATTATATGACTAGATGATTTACCTCTGTTCATATACGCATTAGCATAATTTGGATTTAATTGGATGGCCATGTTGTAGTCTTGAAGTGCTTTTTCATTTTCTCCTTTAATATCAAATACAATTCCTAATTATATGACTAGATGGTTTACCTCTGTTCGTATACGCTTTAGCATAATTTGGATTTAATTGGATGGCCATGTTGTAGTCTTGGAGTGCTATTTCATTTTCTCCTGTTTTATCAAATAGAACTCCTAATTATATGACTAGATGATTTACCTCTGTTGTAATACGCAGTAGCATAATTTAGATTTAATTTGATGACCATTTGGATTTAATTGGATGGCCATGTTGTAGTCTTGGAGTGCTTTTTCATTTTCTCCTGTTTTATCAAATAGAACTCCTAATTATATGACTAGATG